GTGCATCCTCCTGCCCCTCTCACTGATCACTTGTCACCTCTAGACTCAGGCAATGTTTCAAAAATTGATTTTCAGCCATTTTCACTGAGCCTTTTTTAATTATTGTTCAGGAATACAGTGCTAAAGTACTTAAGCAACATTACACTAGTTAACATTTCAGATCATTTTGTTTTTTGTGCAAACATTCTTCTTTCCCTCACTTGATCTCTGTTGAATTGTGCTCTGGAAACAATTGCAGTATTTTACTGCCAGTGCCCATCTTAGTCCTGGACAAATACAAAAAGACTGCAAAATACAGAGATATTTCATTTTGGATTAATTTAAGATGACCCCCATCAAGGAATGAAAATGTTTCCAGGAAATACTTCAGGATGAAGAAAATGTCACACAATCTCCAAAATAAAATTAGTTTGTACAGGAACAAAACCTGGGACTTTCAGAGACTTCATCCAAAGAGGCTCTTATAAGCTGCTTTGAGTTGCATTTAGGAGAAAGGCAGGATCTGGAGAAGCTCTTATAAGCTGCTTCAAGTTGCATTTGGGAGAAAGGCAGGATACAAATCAGATCAAATAAATAAATAAATGTGCAGAGCACATCCACAATATCTCCAATAACAGCACTGGATGCACAACAGCGCTGCATCACAATTCTGCTTTGGAACATGCATGGCCAAGCCACATCAGAGTATGGTCAAGACCACCAAGGTTGTTAATGAAAAAGAACACACAAGCTAGGAGGGGCTGCAGCAGCTTGCTTTTGACCTAGCCTGCTAGGAAGGGCACAATTTCACCTTTTCCTCTCACCTCCCCCCTGCTGAGTTAATTGAGCAAACTACATCTGCAATTTGAAATCAGTTTGCAGCAAATGAAGTAAACTGAGAACAAAGGGGCAAAGTGGGATGAGGAGAAAGAAACTGGAACATTTTAGAAGCACCAGAGTAACTGCTTCTAAATTAATCAGGACTGTCCCTGCCAAATCAGTTAGAGAGTACGGACCTATAAGATTAAGCACCAAAGATAAAGTTATTCCCTGTTGACAAGGTTGTCAAGTTGTGTCTGACCATAGGGGGTGTGCTCATCTCCGTTACTAAGCCAAAGAGCCAGCATTGTCAGAGACTACTCTGTGATCAAATGGCACAGAACGCTGTTTACCTTCCCACTGAAGTGGTACCTATTTATCTACTTG